CATGAGGATAGTAGTTAAAAGATTGTCCCGAAAAGTTAAAAAAAGGCTTTTAGCGACAAAATTTTGAAAATGTCACTAATAAATAGACTTTTAAGGATAAAATAATTTAATCTCAAAATAGTTTATTTTTTAAGACAAAAAATTTAGTCCCAAAAGAATAATAATTCATCACTAATATCTAATTTTCGTTACTAAAAATATAATAATTACACTTTTCATAATAAAAATATTTGATCCTTAAAAATTAATTTTATTTCTAAATTTTAATTTTTAAAATTTTAATTTTTTGTGATGGCTATTTTGAGTCAACAAAAAGTACAATTTATCATTAACTTGATGACTGGGGGAAGACTTTACAAAAGGCTGCTATGATCATGAGCTGATTTCCAAGACTCAAAATTTTGTAGTTTTACTGTGATATATAATTTTGTAGTTTTACTGAGGTATATTTTGATGTGATCGAATGATTCGCTTTCATCGATGCCATAGAAGCTAAGCGTTAAAAAATAATATAATAATAATTAATTAAATAAATAAACGATCGAAACAATGGAAAGATGGTAAAATAAAGAAAGCCTGGGCTTGTTTAAAAGGATTCGAGTGGGTGTATTTGTCACTTGTTGCAACTTATGAAGCACGGATACGGGATGAGTATTGGTATTGGTATGATACGGGTACGTTGATATGGTAAAATTTAAAAAAAGTAAGGTACGGATACGGCTTGGTATGCTTGTAAAAAAATATTTATTTTTAATTTATAGTAATGTAAAATTAATTAAATAGTTTAATTTGTTAAGATTCAACCTATAATTAACATTTAATGTCAAAAGTAAAGGTATAAATCAAAATTAAATGTCAATATATTTTACAAACCATAGTTTAATTTTAAAAACATGCTAAGTATAAAACTAAAAATAAAAAAGAAGTCTAGTTAAAGGGGTTTTATCTCTATAGTAGAAGAAAATATTGTTTCAACTGAGGTACGGTACGACTTAGGTATATAGTAGGTACGTCTGGGTACGTCAAAAATTAAGAAGAAAAAACTTGGGTACGTGTTTCGTGTACCCGATACGTATGCAGAAGTACCATACGCCGGTAAGTACCCAGTACGGGTACGACATGTTTTTCGAAGTACCCATGCTTCATAGGTTAGAACATACTATAACTTTGATTTAAACCCCTACATGGAGTGTAACTGTTGAGGAATATAATTCAGTGAGCTCAGGTTCAAGTCAAGTAGTAGCTTAGTTCAAGTAGTGCAGCAACTAAAGTGCAACTCCGACTTAGATTGCAATTCAACAGATTACAGTTCAAGAAGTTCATCTATTTAGAAGTTAGTTAGACTTAGTTATATAGTTGAGTAGATAGTTAGTTTGTTAGAAGATATTTGTTAGATGATTAATTGAGCTCCTTATTACTTTTTATAAATATAGCTGATGTATTATCAAATGTGTTGTTGAATGAGAAAGCAGATTGGTTTTAGTTTTGTTTCATGGTATCAGAGCCTCTGAGCTCCAACGAGCAATTGATTCATGGCATCACCATTATCATCTTTGCTTCATTTAAATCTCACTCTATTAATTTCAAATCTTTCTTCCTTTGTTACTATCAAACTTGATGGTTCCAATTTCCTTGTTTGGAACACTCAGCTCTCAAATATTCTTCGAGCCACAAATCTGCTTGGTTATGTTGATGGACCAATTCCATGTCCAACCTCTACAATCATAGATCTAGAAGGAGCTTCTGTTCCAAATTCAGAATTTTTTCAATGGACTTTGATTGATGCACATTTGCTCAGTTGTATCACTGCAACACTTACACCTTCAATCTATGCATCTGTACTTCAGTTTCATCATTGTTCTGAGGTCTGGAGTTCCTTCCACAAGAGGTATACAACTTTGTCTCGATCTCATATTCACCAATTGAAAAACAAGTTAAACAGTGTTGCTAAGAAAACTGAGTCAATGGAAGAATATCTCTCAAAAATTAAGGACCTTGTCAGTCAGTTAGCCCTAGCATCTGTTAAAATTGAAGATGAAGATCTAGTCTTAGTGACTATGAATGGTCTTCCTTTTGAGTTTGATTCATTTGCTACTGCCATTTGTGCTAGACCAGACAACATCACCATGGATGATCTTTGTGCTTTACTGTGTTCTGAAGCAATTCATTTAGATTCCAAGATACAGAATCCACAGAACAACTGTAGCTTTCTCTAAAATTAAAGGATCTCTAACTCCAAATTCTTTTCACACTTCTTCTTCAAGATCTAAGAATTTTGGCTCCAATCGAGGTCGATCTTATTCCAGAGGAGGTAGAGGAGGCCGAACTAGAGGTTATGGTAGATTTACACCATCTCGAGGTCGAGGAAGGTTCTCCAATCAAATTTTCCAAATTTGTGGAGGCTCCAGTCATTCTGCACTGGAGTGTTGGTATCGCATGGATCCACAATATTAGGCTTCACATCAAAATGTTCAAACTCACAATCAACAGCAGTAACCACGAGCCTTTGTTATTTCCTCAGCAGCCTCCATGTCTCCTTCCTCAATAGGTTCTTCCTTAGTTCAAAGTCCTTGGTACTTGGATTCTGTAGCATCAGATCATGTGACTAATGATCTCAGTCATCCAAATTGCTATTAACCTTATCAAGGCCCAGAACAGATTACCATAGGAGATGAAAACTCCATTCTTATCCAGCACACTGGTAAAGGTCTTCTTCCAACTCCACATCATTTGTTTAAATTGAATAATGTGCTACTTTCAGATTCTATTTCTTCTAAACTTGTCTTTGTTCAAAAATTTGCTGAAGATAACAATTGTATTATCAGTTTTGATGATACTACATTTGTCATTCAGGACAAGCTTACGAAGAAAATTCTTCACAAAGGCTCTAATCTTCATGGCTTATATCACTTTCTTCCATCCACTTCACTACCTACTGATCATGCTTTTTTAGCAGCTCCCACAAATTTTGCTTCTCAAAAGCTGTCTAGTTTTACTTTTGTTTCTAATAATGTTTGGCATAATAGGCTAGGACACCCTAGTGCTTTGAAGTTTAAGCATCTTAGTTCACACTTGCATCTTAACTTTTCTCCTTCTGTAACATCTCAAGCTTGTGTGGACTGTTATATTGCCAAAAGTAATAGATTACCTTTCAAGTTGTCTAATTCTAATGTAAATAAGCCCCTTGCTTTAATCCACAGTGATGTTTGGGAGCCTTTTTCATCCACTTCATGTTATAAATACTATGTTCTCTTTGTGGATGACTTTAGTCGGTTTACTTGGTTATATCCATTGGTTTATAAGAGTGAAGTTTATGACAAGTTTCTTGAATTCAAAACTTATGTAGAAAAACAATTTGATACTCACCTTAAGATCCTTCGAACAGATGGTGGTACAAAATTCTTTAATAACAAAATGAAAACTCTCATTGTGTTACAAGGAATTGTTCATGAACATTCTTGTCCTCATACACCATCTCAAAATGGTGTAGCTAAATGAAAACACAGAAATCTCATCGAAATTGTTATTGTTCTACTTCACCACTCTTCTATTCCTGTGCATTATTGGTTTGATGCTATTGCTTGTGCTACTTACCTTATTAATAGACTGCCTTCTTTCAAATTGGCTTATAAAACACCTTTTGAAACTTTGTTTCATAAACTTCCAGATTTTTCTCTTCTCAAAGTTTTTGGTTACTAATGCCTTCCTTGGCTCAAACCTTATCATCCTACCAAACTGCAACCTAAATCGGTTGAATGTGTCTTTTTAGGCTATCATTCTTTTGCCAAAGGGTATAGGTGTCTTGATCTCAAAACTAGAACTATTTATCTTTCTCGTCATGTAGTGTTTAATGAACATATTTTTCCTTTTGCCCATCAAGTTTCTTTCTCTTCATCCTCTTCTTCAGCATAGTTCTCTTTCCTTCAATCCTTCTTTTGGTCTTCACCTTCTTCTTCTCCTGCTTTACAGACATCATCTGTTTCCACTATTTCTGTTTCACCATTATCTCATCCTTCTACTACCTCTTCTTCATCAGCATCTGGTTCTTCTTCTTTTCTAAATTCTATTGGTTTACCTTATCATTCTACTGGTTTACCTCACAATTCTACTGGTTTACCTCTCAGTCTCTCTTCAGCTCAGTCTACTCTTCCACTTATTTCTCCTTCCTTTCATTCTCCTATCCCCGTTAACTCCATTTCTATTCAGTGGTCTCTTCCTTCACCTTCTACTTCTCTTCCTTCTGTGCCTCCTTCTTCTAATTGTCATCATATGCTTACTAGGTCTAAAGTAGCTATCCCCACTCTCAAACCTACTTCTCTTTCTTTTCATGATGTTGATCCTCTCTCTCTCACAAGGAGGCCTTGGTTATTCCTATTTGGAAACAGGCTACGTTGGAAGAATTTCAAGCTCTTCAAGCCCAGAAAACTTGGTCACTTGTTTCTCTTCCTCTTGGGAAGCATGCCATAGGTTGTAAATGAGTATTTAAGGTCAAGAGGAATACTGATGGAACTGTTGCTAGACATAAGGCCAGATTAGTGGCCAAAGGCTATCTACAATAAGAGGGCATTGACTTTTAGGAAACCTTTAGTTTTGTTGCTAAGTTGCCCACCATTCGCATTCTTTTATGTCTTGCTCTTCATCACCATTGACCTATCAAGCAACTAGATATCTCTAATGCATTTCTTCATGGCCTTCTTGAGGAAGAGGTTTATATGTTGCAGCCACAAGGATTTGAGCATTCTTCTCACCCCACAGTAGGTTCGTAAGCTCCACAAAGCTTTATATGGCCTTAAACAAGCACCAAGAGCATGGTGCTCTACCTTTTTAGCCTTTTTGCTCTCTCAAGGGTTCAAAAATAGAAAATATGACTCTTCTCTATTTATATACAGCATGGTTTAGTCTTCATTGCTCTTCTTGTGTATGTGGATGATATTCTTCTCATTGGGAGTAAAGTTACACATATTTAGCTGCTCATTACTAAAATGCATTAGGCATTTTCTATGAAAGAGCTTGGCAATCTTTCCTATTTTTTGGGTATAACTGTTGCAACCTCTGGCTCTACCTATGTACTTTCTCAGACCAAGTATGCTCAGGATGTTCTTACTAAGGCTGGTATGTTGGATTGTAAGCCTTCTGATTCACGTATATCTGTTAAGCCTGGGTTGCCTCACAAATCTGATGTTCCTTTTCACAATCCTTCTTTCTATCGAAGTATAGTTGGGGCATTGCAATACTTAACCATTACAAGGCTTGACCTGTCTTATGTTGTAAATCAACTCTGTCAGCATATGCATAATCCTACTCTTGGCCATTTTGCTGGCGTCAAAAGGTTGCTTAGATATCTTAAAGGAACTCTGTCTCAGAGCCTCACCTATACACCCAATTCCTTTGCTCTTCAAGCCTATTCTAATTCCAACTGGGCTGGAGACTCTATTGACAGAAAATCCACTTCTGGATATTGTGTCTTTTTGGGCTCCAATCTTATTTCTTGGTTAGCCAAGAAACAAGCCACTGTGTCTCGATTCTCTATTGAAGCAAAGTATCAATCATTGGCTCATACTGCAACTGAACTGACCTAGATTGGCATGTTACTTCATGATCTTTGTATTGTGTCTCCCACAATTCCTCTTCTCTGGTGTGATAATGTCTCTGCCATAATTTTAGCCTCTAATCCAGTCTTTCACTCTCGATCAAAACATATAGAAGTGGATTGCCACGTTGTTCGTGATCAAGTCCTTGCTAAAAAGCTTGAGTTGCACTAGATTCCTACTTTTGGTCAGTTGGCTGATATATTTACCAAACCATTATCAGTATCTCGTTTCTCTTATCTTCAATCCAAACTGATGTGAGTCTCTCCTCCTGTCAATTTGAGGGGGAATGTTGAGGAATATAGTTCAGCCAGCTCAGGTTCAAGTGGTGTAGCAGCTCCGGTGCAACTCCGACTCAGATTGTAGTTCAACATATTACAGTTTAAGAAGCTCATCTTTTTAGAAGTTAGTTAGAGTTAGTCATATAGTTGAGAAGATAGTTAGTTTGTTAGAAGATATTTTGTTAGATGATTAGTTGAGCTCCTTATTACTTTGTATAAATATAGCTGACGTATTATCAAATGTGTTGTTGAATGAGAAAGTAGATTGGTTTCAATTTTGTTTCAGTAACTCACAACTTTCACTGTAAAAGTTGGAATTCAAATGAAAAATATAAGGAATTCACATGTTAGGAAGGAAAACAAAAATTCCCTTTAAATTCATAATCATCCGTTTGTTTAATCGGGCTACTAATTTGAACCAGATTACACATCCCTCGTATAAAAAATTGCCCAATCTCACCCTCTTGAGATTATTAATCTCTCAGAATTATTTTCCATTTTCCATCAATTGATAAAAGTAATTTTTAAAATTTTATCACATTTTTTTGCCCCAATGTAACCAAATATAATATAATAATTCCATTGAATAATCCAATTATTCAAAAAATAAAAAGAAATAAAAGAAAGAAAGAACAAGAACAAGAATAAGAATAAGAAGAAGAAGGAATCCACAGATTATTTATTGCATTTTCTTGAAACAGATGATAGCATTGAAAACAAAATTTAAATTATCAAATCAATTAATAGTTTTTAATAATGTTATGTTATAAATATATTTTAATTAATAATTCAATTAATTTTATTACTATATAGAAGACAATTAGAAATTTTAATTTTTTAATTAATTTTATTAAATGAAAAATTCTGATTAGGAGTACTTGTAATTTTTCAAACTATAGGAGCCAATTAGTATTTTCTTGTAATTTATCCTATTTTTTGTTATTTTCCTTTATTAATTTAGCACACAATGTGTGCTTACTTTTAATACATGATGACATTTCCACAAGTAATTCTAAACTCCGATAGTATATATATTTCTTTTACTTGAGATTAGGGAGAGGGATGATTTTAAGACACCAATTAAGATATTTTTTTTAGATAATAGTATAGATAATATAGATTAAACGTGTTGATTATTTAATAAAATGAAGTATGCATTAAATAATTTCTTTACTATCTCAAACTTTAAATAAAATAAAAAAAAATTAAGGATCAAAATAAACAAAAAAAATTAAACTTGAAAAGACAACTTGTAACTTATCCAAATTTATATAATAATGTGTTATTATGCCAAGTGGCATTTTTCATCAAAATTAAAAAACGTTAGTTGTTGGAGTAAATCAAAACAATAATAAACGTTAGCAAAAAATGTGGAAAATAATTTTAAAAAAATTACAAAAAATAAAAAATAAAAATCAAAGTTTGAATCTTATTACAAAATAAATTTTTACTTTTTAATTTTATCAATTTAATTATTTAATTTATTTTTAATTTAAATTATTTACATATTTTTAGTAAGTAAAATTGACAAAAAATTATAATGCCAAAAATATCATTTTTACATCAATTTTATTTAACAAAAATAAATAAATAATTTTAATTAAAAACAAATCAAAAATTTTAAATTTAAATTGATGAAATTAAAAATTTAGACTTTATTTTATTATAAGACTCAAATTTTAGTATTTTTTATTTTTAATAATTCTCCAATAATTTTTTTAAGACTCAAAGTGAAACAAATTTAAAAGTGAATAAAGTGTAATTTAATTTAGTAGGCTTTGACTTTGAATCAACAAAAACTATAATTCATCATTAACTTGATGACAAGTAGGAATGGCAACGGGGCGGGGCGGGATCGGGGATCACACTCCCCGTCCTCGAAGGTAAAAATTTCCTTGTCTTCGGCCCCAATCTCCGATGGGAAACCTGTCACAGTCCCCATTCCCACCACCTAACGGGGATCGGGTTTCCCTGGCCTCAAAAATTCCCCGGCCCAAATCTGTTTCAACAATATCATCAACAACTTTCAACATCAACCAAATCATCAAGAACATCATCAACAAAATCGTCAATAAGAAGTGGTGACAAAATCATCATCAACAACAAAATCATCATCAACACTATGTGCATCAAAAAAAAGAAAAAAAAGACAAATAAAGACAAACACACGTACATGTATACATACACATCAACATAGATTTGAGCGTGCATCATCAATCAACATAGATATGAGATCTGTGTGTGATCAAACAGATATGAGATCGACGATAGTGATTGTGACGAACGATGGAGGTCGGCGGCGAGAGACGACGGAGGTGGACGACGGTGATTGCGACGAACGACGGAGGAGGACGGCAATGCGAGGAGATAGAGACGGTGGCGCTAAGGAGGAGGTGCGAGAATGAGAGGGAAAGACTCTGAGTGAATGAGAGGGAGAGGGAGAAAGAGAGATGAGAGATGGTGAGGAAAGGAAGAAAGAGATCAGAGGCAATGAAAAAAGAAAGAGAGAGAGTAGAGGGAAGAGAGAGAGTGCGCATATATTAAATGAAAGAGAGAAAGGCAGAATCAGTATATTATATATAGAATAGAAAGCATATTATATTATATATATAATACGTCGGGGACAAACAGGGCGGGGCCAAGCCAGGGTCGAGGATTCGACACTTATCACCGTCCCCGACCCGAAATTGATCGGGGATTGTTTTTGAATACCATCCCCGTCCTGTCGGGGGTATTTTTCGAGAAAAAACCGTTTAAATTGGGATCAGGGGATTGGGTCCCCATCGGGCCGGTTTCAAATTGCCATCCCTAATGACAAAGGAACACTTACATAGGGCTCCTAGGCTCATGAGCTGATTTTCCAAAGACTAAAAATTAGGAAAAATAGTGAAATATTTTTCTCTAATTTTAAGTAGGAGAGGAGATTCAATATATTATTTTTATTAGTTAAGATCTCTTGATGATTTTTTTTTTTTATAAAATCAGAGAAATTTCTCTGTAAAAATTAAAATTTCTTTATGTCAAATTTTCTCTGTATAAAATTTGAAGGACCCAACTACTATGAAAATATTGTATATCTTTTATATAATAAAATCTTAATATCAGGTATCTTAATGTTGTGTTTGGTTAGAGAATTTAGGAAGTGATTTGGATTTGGAAAGAGAAAGATAAAGAAAAAGAAAAAGAAAAAATGTGAATAAAATATACTTATATTTCATCTAATTTTACACACTTTCTTATTTTTTCTTCTTAAATCTCTCTCCAAATTCTCCAATCAAATAAAGGCTAAAAAAAATTCCCCGTAAAAATTTGGTAGTTTTGTACGTTGTTGTCCTGAGTAATTTTTATGTAATCGAATTATACGATTTCATTGATGCAATAGAAGCTAAGCGATAAAATAATAATAATTATTATAAAATAAAATTATCAAAACAATAGAAACGAAGTAGAAACCAAGAAAATCTGCACTTGGTTAAAGGAATTACCGGTACATATATATACATATAGTTATTGTTTAGGATAAAAGGCTATTTTAATCCCTAAAATATGCGTTATTTTTTTTTTAGTTCATTAAGTTTCAATTTTATTATTTGGGTCTTCAAAATTATCATTTTAAGTCAATTTGATCCTAAGCCTAACATCTATCTACATTGATAATATGAATATGTATAAAAGACAATTTTCGTCCCTAAATTTTTTATCATTTTAGTCTCTTAAATTTTAAATTTTGTCATTCTAAAATTTCAAGACTCTATCTGCGCCAGAAATACCACAAGCTCTAATCTGTTCCAGGTTGAAGATAAGATCACACAGATTGAGTAATGAACACCTTTTGGAGGTATGACAACTTTAGCTTTAGGTTAAAATAAGATCATGAAACGCATACTTTAAAAATTAAAATTGTCTTTTATCTAAAGGTAAAATACTACTCCTATTATCAATATAAACAGACATTAGAGATATGTCTAAATTGATTCAAATTGACAGTTTTGAAAACCAAAATGACAAAAATAAATTTTGAAGAATTAAAATGGCAAACAAAGCATATTTTAAGGGTTAAAACCTTCTTTCATCATTTATATTAAAACCTACTCTAACTTAGATCTAAAGCCTTATATTAGATTTGAACTCACAACCTTCACTTTGTACGAGTACAAAATAATCTTTATTTATATAATCTTATTGATGAAGTTTGCGCTCCTTTAAACGTCGCTGTAACACTTGAAATCACAAATGTGAGTTAGTCGACGAGTGTGTGCTAAAAACCCCTCCAATGCCTAAGTCAACAATTAGACTAAATAGGCCAAAGATCGGTGAATTTGGGAGTATGAATTGCAATACCTGGTTGAGAGTTTGGTTTGAGCTTTTGTAGACTCTGCATGACACAATCCTATTAGGATTCTAACTCTCCTCAATAAAGTCCTCCTAGGAATCCCATTTCTAAAGCTAATGCTTATCCTTTGACACCCTCCTCATTGCAAACCAAGTGAGATGGTTCAACTCTTTTCTCGATCAACGCAATTGATCGAGCTAATTTTACTCTGCCTGCCAGTGATAATACCGAGCAACACGCACTGTCCTCATAGGCTTACACAGCTTGCCACTATGCTAACATAGCACGGCCCGTCACGTAGCTCGGTCGGAACCTTATTCCTAGTTCCATTTGTTTGTCTTCCACTATAGCTTGGTCAATGCTTGATCGCTATTAAG